CCCCCCCCCCCCCCCCCACCCCCGCTGCTGGGAGGAGCTTGTTGTTTCTCTTTCTCGGTTGTGCGTTTTTTCGATGTGCTGTCGAGAGGTTTTGTCTTGTTTGTGATGGGTTTTGGTTCCTGTCGTCTCTTCTACCTCTGACGAGCAGAGTGCAGGCAAGGCAAGCAGGGTACAGGCAAGGCAAGCAGGCCCGGTTGTGCCCGTTGAGGAGAAATCGAATCCAGAAGCGCACGCCAGTCGCCCGAGAAAAGATCGCGCCGCGCAACGTGCTCCTGCCGGTTGGTTGGCGGTGGAATGTTTTCCACGTCAACACGCCATGACGAAGTGGTTGCTGCCGGTCCTCTTGGTTCTTGAGTGCCCCTCCTGTTTTGCTTGACCTCGATGGACGGAGCGTGCGTACTGTAAAGGCATACAGTACATACAACCCGAGAAATGATGATTGCGCTCATGGGTCGTACATCTCGCGCGTTTGTGTGGCTTCGTGCGTCTCGTCCCCTTGTTCGCCCGCCTTCGTTTCTCTCTCGCTTCTCCAGAGACGAGCTGGTGGCGTCCCTCCGAAGGTTTGACGCGGCGCCGTTCACCCTCCAGCGATTGGCTGAGGTTCTCCAGGTAGTCACTGCTCTGTTGCCGTTTTTCCATGTGTTTTTCCCTTTTTTTTATTGTCATCGCGGCCCACTGCGTACGCCCCAGCAGTCCTGTTGTTGATTCGAACTTGACATTGGAGAGAGAGGGGGGGGGGGGAGGGGAGGGAGAGATTAATAGCTTGTTCACAAGTGTTGGTTTCAACCAGAGGAGAGACGGCGGTAACAACAGCGAACAGTTCCAGCAATACGGCGCACTGGTTCATCCGCGCACGACCCCCGGTATATATTTGGCTGACATGGCACGTGCCGCCCCCTGCCCGGCCACACCTCCAACACTTGTCATGCTTTCCATGCTCACGCGTGCGCTTGGTGGCCGCCCTCGATTATCTTTGCTCTGGCACTGCTTTTGCTGCTGCTGCTGCTGCTGCTGCTGCTGCTGCTGCTGCTTCTGCTTCTGCTACTGCTACATGCAGAACTGTTTGCTTACGAATGCGAATCACGCTTTGCCGTACCCGCGCTTGTGCCGTGCCGTCATTGGTCGTTGTACTCGTGTCGAAGACCGGTCAACCAGCTTTTTTGTGTGTGTTGGTAAATAATGACGTCAGTTAATTAACCACCATTTACGTTGCACCTTGCACGCCACAACTCCGTCCTTTTGTTTTTTTTTGTTCTTTTTTGCCAGGACCCTAGACGGCAGTATTCGACGACGCACAAGCTCATCAACGGCCTGGAGCGGCTGCTGTCTGTGTCGAGCACCCTGCCCACCTCGTCGAGAAGGGCATCATCGCCACCGGGGGCGAGAGCGGGAGGAGCAGCAGAAACAGCGGCGGCGGGAACGCCGACAGCAACGGTACGAAAACGTTGAGTCCCGTCACGCTTCCCTATTTGATTGGGTTGCCGGTGGCTTTGAAGGCGCGATAGATTGCATCGGGTGGTTGCGGTAGGATGAGTTTCCTTACCCCTGAAATGACTTTTTTTTTTTCGTTTCTGCGCGTGCAATTGGCGGTGGAGGTGTAGGGTGAGCAAGGTCCCCGCCACGTCCGAAGTTCCACGAGGTTTTCTTTCTGAAGTACGAAAGCCCAGAGCGACCCCCCCCATCATGCACCACCCTGCGGTTACGGAACCTCCCCCCTATTGTTTGCGCGAACAACAGCAGTAAGGCAAGATACACTCTGCATGTGCATGCACTCCACCATCAGTGGCCCTCGAACAGATGGACGATGTATTATGCACGAAGAGGTGTCTTGTGCCTCTGAACACCTGGTATGTTGTAAGGAAGGCTCGAGTGAAGGCGGGGTGTATAGCAGCGACAGGGGACGGCCCGAGAGGGATGGGTTGTCAACGGTCAGCTAGCCCCCCAGGGCGATCGAAAAAGTGCGAGTACGCCTCCCCGCCCCACCCCCCCATCCCCTACCGGTTCAGTTGACCCCCTCCCGTTCATCTATCGCGCTTGTTTCGCCCTCGCTTTTGATCGTCGCTGAACTCAGCACGACACCGCGAACAACGGCGCAGCAGCAGCAAAAAAAAAAGCAAACTCAACAACAACAGCAGCAGCGGCGGCGGCGGCGGCGGCGGCAGCGGCGGCGGCGGCAAGAGCGGGGCAAGAAGGCGGCGCACCCTCCGGGGTTGTTCCGTCGTCGTCGTCGTTGCCGTCGTCGCCAACCTCGGTGGTGGCTGTCAAGGTCGAGGAGCAGGGGTGTGTGCAAGTCCAAGTTCCCCTAGGGGGCGGGGTGGAGGACGGGGGGGTTGTCGAGGGGAGCAACGGAGATGTTTCGGTCGACGCCGCTGTAGTCCCGGCAGACGACGAGGTGCGTGCGTCCGTGTGCGAGAAGCGTTTGCCCGTGTGTGCGTGTGTCACGTTCTTCTGAAGACATTAGCTGTATGGTCGTAACATAGATGCGGTATTGAAAGCGTCGTCGACAAACGTTGTCAGTCCTACTCTGTAGCAGGGTTTCTGTTGTGTACGCGCGAGCAAGGGGAGCACTGACTGGTGCCACTATTTTTTTTTGCTGTACGAATGGTTTTCTTTTTCCTATGAACGTGACTGTTATTGCCGGGTCGCTTCAGGAATACCCCGGGGGTCACGTTTTGCGCACACGGGCCTCATCTCTCGTGGTCGACTAAACCGAACAAATCCGACCGGCTTCATTCGGTAATTCATTCCGAAATACATTCCGTATTGCATTCCGTAGTACATTCCGTAGGTTGCGGAAGATCCCCCCCCCCCCTTGGAACCGATTGTCACAGTCAGAATACTCTGCATCAGAAAACAGTGCAGGTGCCGTCGAGAGGTGGCGTTTTGAAATCTTCTCGTGGAGATCTTCCCCAGAAAGTTCCGTTTTTTTGGGGGGTATCCCCTTTTCGTGGTGGAGTAATCGAGCTGCGAACAACCGGTGCTGTGGGTGTGGTCACCTACGCAGCCAACGANCCCCCCCCCCCCCCCCTGTGTTTTGCAGGGCCGAAGTAGGAAGAAATGTGCGCTCCTTCGGGTGTGTTAGCCTCGCGTAGGTGTTGGTGTTGATTCAGCCGCCTCTGCTGCTGCAACAGGGTGCTTGCCTTAACGACTGAAGCGCCCCGGTTCGAGAGGGCATATAGCCAATCCCGGGCTTTCTGGCACATTGCATGGTGCACTGGTGTTCGTCGTCGGCGACTGTTTTTTTTTTTTTTGTGGGTGCTTGTCCTGAGCAGACGACCTCATCCTGTGATCGCGGTGTTGTTGGCGCCTCCTGTATGTGGGCCACTAAATAGCCCGCCGGAAGCGGTGTTTCTTGGCGGAGAGTTTCGCTTGGTTAGCTGGCAGCAAAGAAACGGAGGGGGTATTACAGTTTTGGGAGTGGGTGTGGTATTGATGCATGCAGTCAACGGTGCGTTGGATCGGTCATGGCGTTTTTTTGCACGCCTGACCTGGTCTCCGCCTGGCTGTGCACGCCAGACAGCCTCTGATTTTGCGGCGTAAAGCGTTTCTTCCACAGTGCAAAATAACGGAGAACAAAGAAATGCTTCGCAAGAAATATGCATCGACTGCTGGTTGCTGTGCACACGACGAGCATGTCGTTCGTCGGCAGCTGCTGCTGCTGCTGCTGTTCCAGCACAGACCCTTTGTTATCTGGTATATCTCGCGTTCTCCTCGTTGTATTAATTACGGTTTTTTCTTTTCGGCCTATCCTTGTGCACGGGGGACTGTGGCGTGTACAAGCAGTCGACTGCACGAGAGGGGGCAGGCGACTGGGAATCGGGAAGCAGCGGGAAGAGAGAGCCAGGGAGGAAGCGACTCAAGGTGGGCCGGGGTAGTGGGGCCGCCGGGCACACCAGGCCAACAAGGGTGTGTTCGTGTGTGGGTGTGTGTGTGTTTTTTTTTGCTGTTATTCCTGTTTTGTTTTTTTTTCTTTACCCCTTCCCGGCGTCTCGTCTTGCCGATTGCTTGCCACTGCTGTTGTTGTTGTCGGGATCTGGGTCTGGTCTGTCTCTTTCGGCTAAGGACGAAGACACACGTGCGCCTAAGGACTCCGCCGCTGCGATAGAGATATTGGCTGCGGCGAACGAACGAACGAACCATGGACCCTTGCGCCTGCTGTTGCGGGCGACGTTGGGGTTCGGGAAGTTATCTGCACCGATAGATGGACGTTCCGAATAGCACGCCTCCGACACCCCCTCTCCCTCACCACGCCCCAGGCGTCAACATGCGCACCCGGGTCGTAGATCCCCCCACAAATACGGCACCGGCCGTTGTTGATCCATGACTCCGGCTGTAGTAGCGATACAACATATGGCCAAACCCTTTTTGACCAGCCTCTACAGCGTGATGCCACCAACAATTTGGACGGGGTCGTTTTTGAAGGCGTACCATATGGAGTGTGCTTAAGGTCAAGTCTGGTAGGATCTTCCGGAGAACTTTCCAAACAATATTGGAGGTAGAAGGCGCCGAAGCGGAGGGAGTGTTTCCTCGATATGGGCGATAGAGTACGTCACTGGCAAGACCCTTGTGGTGGCGATCCGAAATTGCGCCAACCCGTGCTACTCCCCCTCGCCGAATACCTCGGTGTTACGATCGGGGTTGGGTTTTCGTCGCTCGGCAACGGCGTTGCAAAACAAGCCGCCCCCCCCGAGGTGTGAACGGTGGATTAGTCAGCAGTGGGAAGGGAAAAAGGGAAGTTCTAGCAGGACACTACAAGAGACTTGGAGTGCCCTCGGAGAATGAAGCTTTTGACCAAGTGTTTAAGAAGGAGGTGGACGCATGGGCCCAAAAAGAAGAAGAGACATCGAAGGCAGACGTTGGGAACGTAGAACTAGAAAAGGAGTTCACTGAGGACGAGGTTGAGGCGTGTGTGAACAAGCTGAAGTGCCACAAAGCAGCAGGAGCGGATGGGATAGTCAACGAGTTCATGAAG